CAAAAAGAACTCGGTTGACGTGGTCCAAAGTTATGCGGTAACATATGGACATAAAAAAAAATATTCCTACGAACTGATAACCTACTCCTTTTTTGGAAAATATATTTAAAGATAAAGTAAATAAAAATAATATAAAATAAAACAAAATGAAATAAAACTAGACAATAATAGAAAAAAGTATATACTAAATATTTCAGGATAAATTTTAGTTAATATTTTTTCCGATTTTGAAGCTTTACATAAAAAATAAACTTTACAAAAAAACAACATTTTAAATGTTTTTTGGTTAACCGCTTATTATTTTTTATTTTAAAACCTAAAATATAACATCAACTTGCATAGTTAAATTTTTTGCGCAGTAATTAATTTTGTTATTTACTTGTCAAATCGGTATCTTTTTAATTTAATAATAGGAAATATTTAAAAAAATATATAAAAATACATACATTTATTACAAAAAAAAATAAAACAATAACATAAAATAAAAAAAAAATAAATGAAAAGAAAAACACGTAAGATCGATTTTTTCCTAATAAAAAGAAATACAAATTAGATTTTTTTAAACCAAAAGTGATAAAGTTCGTTTTTTTTTAATAAAACAACGGCAAAACGAAGGTATAAGTACAAATAAAGAAGAAAATATGCATATATGCGGAATTAAATCCATCTAAGTATTTTTTTTTGTAATTTTCAAGTTAGTAACTAATAATTCAAAAATTCAACTAGTGATTGTAGTGAAATTAAAATTTTTCTTAAATTAAAGTTTCTATATTGCCTTTTTATAAATGCAATAAATTTGTAAAATAGAGTAAAATTTAAAAAATGTTTGAAAAAATTTACAAAATGTGATCTTTAAAATTTAAAATAAAAAATGTTCATTATTGATTTAAAATTTTTCAAATATGCATACATAATCATATAATAAATTAAATTAAATTAAATAAATATAAAATAACTAAAATAAAATGTTTCATACTGATATTAAATATTTTTTTATTATTATTTTTTGTTGGCTTGGTTTTTATTTTGGAATTTCGCAGAGTAATAGCACTTGCTAAGTTTTTCATGCAAAACTAACGCTAAAAATTTAATATTTTTCCTGCTCTCAAAATGTGTATAGTAAAACAAAATAGTAGGGGTATTCACATAACGTGGCGTTTGCTACGTTGATGAATATGCCTCGTACAACCGAAAAAAGATACAAAATTAAATTAAAAAAATGAGCACAGTGAAAATAGTAAGAATACATTTAATGTCGAAGACATAATTGTAAAAATTCCAAAAAAGAAATTATTAATAAATTTTTTTAGATGCGATTTTTCCTTAAGTATGGTTTTTTTTAGATGCGATTTTTCCTTAAGTATGGTTTTTTAAACATGCAATATTTTCTTAAATTTTACTTTCTCCGAAAAAATCATTATTTTCGTAACTTTTACTTTTTTTAATTTTTACTTTTCCGAAAAAACGAATTTTTTCTTAATTCTTTTCGAAAAAAGTACCTAATTTTTACTTTTACGAAGAAACGTATTTTTTTCTTAATTGTTTTCGAAAAAAAGATGTTTTTGATTATATACGTACTATAAAAAGTAAGTTATAATACTATATGAATTGATCAAACTTTGATTGCGCTTTCCTACAAAATTAATATTTTGAAATAATACTCTTTATTATTAAACATGCGATGTATTTTTACTGTTAAAATTGCTTTACTTAAAAAAAAAATCGACACTAAAAAAACTAGCAATCAAGTAAAGTAGAAAAAATTTCGAACAAAACGAATGCCAAGAAAATATGCACTTTGCCCTCACTGCTGCTCAATCAAAGCAAACACACAAGCCATGCCAGCGCCCGCAGTAAGACTTGATGTATGTTTGTTCATATGTATGTGTGACAAAAGATGGAAATAATATAAAAAGCATAAAAAATCACTTATGCAATGAGCAAGTAATCGAAAGTGAATTAATAAAAAAACAAAAAAAGAAATGGGGCAAAGATAATGCTGGGTGACGTATTCGGCAACTGAGGTGCAACAGGGCGTATGCGTAATGTATTTGTCCGCCTCAAATGAACGCCTGCTAAACAAAACGCAATAGAGCAACAACAAAAACACAAGGTGTGACTAAACAGATAAAAAGCGATTGATACAAATTACTACATAATCATAATCGCCTTATAGTGCATAAATGAAGTATTGCGCAATGGCAAGCAAAAGTTATAAGATATTGACAAAATGTATGTACGAAAAATTAATTAAAATCCATGTGGTTGGAATATTTTTATGTTTTTCAATTTGTAAAAAATTTTAAATATTTGTATTTATTTATGACTTAATTCCAACACAACATACATACATATGTACATTTGTACATACGTACAAATACGCATAAATTATTTTTTAATGGGGTTAATAGCCAAGTCAATTTGATTGTGTTTTTGCAAATTTTCTTGCTGCTAAAAAAAAAATGCAGACAATTTTCTTTATAGGATCTAAAATATTTTGTGGTTATAAAAAATTTAAACGTCAATGCTTTTTATTTCTTGCCAACGAAGTGGACTTCATTTGCGTGAATGGCGTTTGTGGCATATTTGTAAACATATTTTAAGACATTTCAAAATACAACAGCAACGTTTTGTTTATTTATTATGTATGTATATATACATACATATATCTTTGGCGAATAAATTAAAGAAAACGAACGCAATTTTATTTGCAAGAAAACGTAAAAAAAATCATATTTTTTATTTTAGAAGACATTACAGTATGTTAAAAATTTGTGGTAACCATAAGCTCAAAAAATCATTTCTTAATGGTAACTGACTTTTATAAATTGTAATCCGTAGTGCACGAACAAATTTAAAAAAAATTACTTATAACTCAATTACATGTTTAAATTTTCATTGATTTTGATATATTCGTGAGCTATCAAGTTATCACTGTCGATTTATTTACCTTAATCGATCATTTTCTTTCATTTCCGCGCCATGTTCGACAATTTTCTGTTGGCCTGAGAAAAAGTGAGGTTAGTTGAAGCGAACGATCTGGAAAATTCCACATAAACGCTATAGAGTGTCAATGTGACACGATTGAGAGATTTCGCCAGTATATCGAGCCCTAACCGCCAAACAGATGTAAGCGAAATTTTTTTCAAAATTTTACTTTTCAATGCGGAAATGCAACACACGCATTCTGCATCAAAAAAAAAATAAATAAAATAAAAATTTCGCTTACCCTTTTTGATGGTTAGAGGTTACTATACCGTATATTCTCCTTCAAATCCAAATTTTTTATTAATCCAAAATTTGGAAAGGGATCTTAGATAGTTTTTGGGCTTTGAAGTTGAAAGAAGTTGAAATATATGTACATAGTTGGAAGCATTATTTCAGGTTCTGTGAGAACCACAGGTGGTTAGACGAGTATGCAATGGAATTAAATTTTTGAAAAGAACTTTTTAAAAGTAAAGAAATGCTTGTGAATAAATAGTTGTGTGGAACAAAGCGTTGCAGATTCCAAATATTAATATTTTTTTAATGTTTGATTTTTAATTTTGTCAAACTGTTAAATGAACCTGTCTATTTTTGGTATGCAGAACGATAAAATGTGAAATATATTTATAATTTTGTGTACATGAATTCGTACGCAAATTACAAAAATATTTTTTTTTTTTATCGTCCAAACAAATGACTATACATACATGTATATACATAAGTAAATATATATTTTTATGACATTTTTGGTTCTCTCATAATCGCGTATTATTTTCAAAATAACATTAAAAAAGCATAGTGCGTCATTAACACCACATTTGACGTACATGCCCCATTTAACGCCTTTCCTTCGAACCACCCCTACAACTAAAGAAAAACAAAACGTGAAAAACACGTATGTATGACAAAAAGAAACGATTCCACAGGCGGTAAATAAGCTATTAAATGTAAAAAAAAGAAATTGATTCATAAATAAACCAAAAACAGAAAAAATAAACACAATTTTTTAATTAAGAAAAATTTAAAGCAAAAAAAATAAAAGATTAAATTAGGAAAAAAATATATGTACATATGTAAATAAAATAAAAAAAAAATTTCAGTATTTTTATATTAAAAAATTAAAAACAATAAAAATAAGTAAAAAATTAAATTAAGAAAAAATTAAAAAAATATTTATTTTAAATCTTTCTTAAAACAAATGCCAAATCGCACAAATAACCGCACGCCTTCGCACACACAGCTACCCACAGCAGCCGTCGCCCTGACAGTGATCATTCGCCGTCACTCGGCCGCCAGTTCACGTTCATGGTTCAACCTCACTGCTTGTCGCCACCGACTCGTCAGACGCCTGAAATGCTGCTGGTCCACTCGCGACGCCTGTTGCTTTGTTGTTGACGGCAAAAATTCAATTGACGCATCCGCGCCACATGAATACATACAAACATGGCGCATATGTGTATGTAAGCAGGTACATTAGGGTGGTCCTTAAATGTAGGAAGCAAATTTTTATATCAAATTTCCCAAGCCACAACCCCTACGTCGATGCTACTATAGTCGAAGATATCACATATAAATTTTGATCCCAATTGGAGGCGGTTAAAGCGCGTCGCACAGGGGGCAAAGTCCATATTTCTCCATGGAGACTCAAAAAATTTAAATAAATTCTTTTTCACCTAATACCCAAAATCGATACTACTATAGTCGATGATATCACATAAAAATTTTGATCCCGATTATAGTCGGTTAAGGAGTGTCGCACGGTGGTCTAAGTTCAGATTACCCTATGAAGACGTCTTAAACGACTTTAGTAGTATCGATTTTGGGTATTAAGCGAAAAAAACCTTTGACCCCTTTGCGACACGCCTTAACCGACTCCAATCGGGGCTGTGGTATTACCGATTGAGGTAGTGAGACTGAAAGAAATCGTTCATTTGATTTTTTTAAGGACCGCCCTAATGTACGTATATACATATGTATGTATGTGTTTGTATGCATGTTTGTATATGTATAAAAGAATGTCCATCCGTTTGACTGTGCGACAAGTGCCAAGATTTTTTGCTTTGCAGCAACCCAGCGCACCGGATTCAGCAATTTTGGATGCCATATTTATGTTTGTTACATATGTACATACATATGCATATGTACATATATAAGTAGTATATGCAAATCTATATACAGTGAAACCTCTCCTAACGGACACCTCTATTAGACGGACACCTCTATTAGACGGACACCTCCCTTGGGCGGACATTTTTTCCTATACCAAGTTTTAAGTATAAATTTCGGAACAAATTACTCTCTCTTAAGCGGACCTCTCTTGGCCGGACGCGGACAGTTATTTTGCATAAAATTGACACAAAAACTCTATTGGGCGGACGCGAACCTCTTATCAACGGACATTAAGATTTCTTTTCATAACAAATCAAACAAAAACCTCCGTTGAGCGGACGCGAACTCCTCATAGGCGGACTACTAAATGGAAAAAGGGACTTCCCGCACAAAATGTGATTGTTATGCACACATTTAGTTTGGTTTGCGACAGTGGTTTAGGTTCGTTATTTGAATTGTCAGAAGCCCTTGGAGACTGATAAAAACATGAAAACTATTGATGAAAAAGGT